TGATTCGGCAATGTTCTTGCGCTGAAGTTGAACCATGTAAGAATCAAGCTACCGGAAGCATTATGCAATGTGCTGATCAGTGCCAGGTAAATTTCGATTTTATCTAAATTGTTTTTTAGAATTTCTGCACCATCTGATTGTCTTTGTTAAATTTTTCCCGTTTCAGAATCACATCTCCGCTCTAGGAGCTTCATACCCAGCATTGAGAAGATGTCTACAAGATAAGGAAAGCCTAATCAACAATGTGATTCAGTGCCAAACTCAGCAATTGGAAGGATCGTAAGTTTTATTCATATAATAGACTGGTATATTCAAATTTTTGAGGAGCTAGGTACCCACATATAGTTTATTGCTGGACGAAGGCGGTGTCTATGTAAGCTGAGGAGGCGCGAACGCGGTGCGAGAGCGACCTCAATATGAGCCAATAGCGTTCGCGTTCGCTCCATGTACATGGGCCCAGCGTCTTCGCTATGTTATGAAAATACAGCCTCACGCAAACTAAAATGATTTTTTTTTTCAAATAGAGAAGGAAGGGACGGGGAGAGGTTCGAAAAAATTACTTGTTATCATTTTGTATTGCGGTGTATTAGAACTTGCCTAGTCAAGTAGAGCGAGTTGTACAGAATAAAGTAAATGAAAAGCGGTGAAATTACTCAAATCTACACTTTTCTTTTTGAGTGGCTTCGGCAAAAAATATTTTTGCATAAAATTAGACGACAAAAAAATTTGGAAATAAATTGGCTTTTTGAAAAATAAACAATTTCAATTCAGTATAAAAAGATATTAGAAGATTCATTATTCGCTTTTCTCTCAAAGATGTCTGAAACCCCCTTAGCCTTAAATTATTTATTTTTTTGCAGATGCCACAGAGGCGGAGGCGGTATGGTCCCAAAACGATACCCAGAAACTCTAAAATTGGCCTTCTATGCTGAGATCAACTCAATGCTCGCAAAATCAGGTCCGTTGCCCTTTTCTTTATTATCAACAAAAAAATGCAAAAATAATTTTCAGGCATCCAAGCCGAAGCTCGAGGCTTTATGGCTGCGGGTAAGAAATTCGCCTCATGCGTCATGAAATGTGTTGAGCGCGGATCCGGATCATGCTTGAAGAAACTCAAGTAAGTTTTTGTAAATAAGCGCCTAAGGGACCATAATGTCTAAATGGTCCGTTCTAGCTGTGGCTTGGCTCTTCCACCCGACAATGTCATCGTCCAACAAGTGAAACAGTGCGCAATTCGTAGCGGTTTCAATACACCCGGTGTTCGCCAACTTTGCCACTGTGCTGCCGGCTCTGGCATCAGGTTAGTGAATTTTCAGAATTGAAATAATGAGAGATAAAACGTTTTTACAAATTGCTCTATTTCAGAGGACTCGAACCTCTCTGCGAAAGAATCCAGATCTCATAAATTCACTAACGGATATTGTTTTCGTGCTGAGAAGCAGTTTTGAAAAATCTGCAACCTCA